CACTTGCTAAAAATATCTGACAGGAGCACATGGAAGAAAATGGTTGGTCTGTCACTGCATACACCTCTCTCTCTCTCTCTCTCTCTCTCTCAAAAAAAGGCTTAATAGATTTTGGTGAAAGGTTTTTGTTGTTGTTTTTTCACCTCTGACCTATAAAAACCATGAAAAACATTTCTTTTCAGCCCAAAAGGTGTTTGAGAATGTTATCAGTAACTATTTAATAGTAAAAAAATAAAAAGAGAGACTGCAGTTGACAACAGGAGATGCATTTCAGACTTAACTAGGATAACTGCCACTGTAATAACTGAATCCTGACTTATGGAAATTGTGTCCAATATCCAACTTCGGGCCTACAGTTAGCATAAAATGATTTATAGTTTATATACTCCTCTGCAATTAGGGAGGTAAAAACTAGAGATGGGCCTAAGAAGAAACACCAGAGCCAAACCTCACCCACAAATTTTTAGGAAATTCAGATCCAGACAATAACTTGATTACTGGGATCATATCTAGTTAACAGTATTATTCCATTGCAGCTCAGTTCTTATCGAAGTGTAACATGTACATTTCAGATGTTATTGATTAGTAGTTTTTTCCAATATGTTTCTTCTGTCTAGTAATTAGCTGAAAGTCCAGTTACAGAGGATCCTTCTGGCACTCATCAAATACATTCACAACTATAGTAAATGCAACAGCTTCTTCCACTATAGTAAGTATGCAACACTGGCAAAATGGACACATTTGGTGAGGGAAGTGTTTTGCACTAACATTTCCTGCCAACACCTTGTGTACTGTGAGGTAAAATATATCCCCAAAGTCATACAAAGAATATAGAATTTTTTTCTTACAAACAACTAAGATTTAAACAAAACCACCTGAACAAGTGCTTAAACTATCTTCTCACTTTCTTCAATTCAATGGTACTACAGGGTTCAAAGAACCTGAGAGATGTTGAATAGGAATTCAGAGTGCACACCACATTTCCGTTTTCAAAGGAAAAAGGTGAGCAGTCCCAAACCAACACTGTACAGCACTGAACCTTTTAACTAATATTAGAGTCAGAAACAGAAGCAAGCTATAGTCAGCATGAGTATACTTGCACCTGGGGCCACAGAATTGGCTGTGGAGACATTTATGGAAGGGGGCTAACGTCATATAGTTCTTTAGGCCTACATCCTGCAAAGATTTACATGCAACCAATTCCACTGAAGACAATAGGTCTACTCATGTGCAGAAAGCAAGTGCAAAAGTCATGGCAGGATTAGGGTCTTAGCCAAGAAACTCTTAAGTTTTTGATCCACATTCTTAAAAATGTATATGCTTTATTTTTTGGGTACAGATTAATCTGCATATTTCCATGTATTGCAGTGTTTGTGAAAATTCATCCTACATATTTAAAAATCCACAACTGCTATCTACTAGTCTACATGTATAAATGATATCCATCACCTCAGCCCATAGACATATTAAATAGAAATAAAAATAGACATCTGAAAATACTATACAAAATATAGTTCTAAAAGAACCATACAAATCTCTCAATATCTGCCACTAAAATGGCCTAGCAACTAGCAATCAGTTAAAAGTTTGATTGGATACATCTCACACAGCACCCTCAACTGGATCAGGCTTATTTTATATAGGTAGAAGCTATGTATACAACCAGAAGCTTCTAAAAAACTATTTTAGGTCTTAATGTATATCCAGAGTTGTGCAAATTTAAATAAAGGTGTGACTTTAAACTGTCCCTGTGAAGCTAAGCTAAAGCAATATAAACCAGGTTTAAAAATCAAATTAAGACAGACAGGGTTGAGTTCAACTAAATAAGGGGAAAAATTACAAAAGATTAACTTAGATACCTATTCCAAGAGCACATTGCCACCATAAAGTGAATGATCCTAGCAGAGTCCAGAAAATGTTTGTTTTGTTTTTGTGTCAGAGGACCCTTTAGTGCTCAGCCAGAGTCAGGCTGCTGTGCTAAAATACTTTACAGGTTTTATTTTATGTCCCCCCCATGATACACTGCATTCCTTTACCAGTGTGGCCCCATCCATTTTGTTGAGTTTTCCTACCCCTTCAATACTAATCTGATCCTCTATATTCAAGTTCATCAAATTTTTATATAGAGTAGAACAGGGGTTCTCAACCTTTTTCTTTCTGAGGCCCCCACCAATATGCTATAAAAACTCCACAGCAGGGGCATAGCCAGATTCTAACATCAGGGAGAGCGAACACATTAAAAAAAAGGCTCCACCCGACACATCAAATTACTAATTACATACTTTAAAATTCATTATATTTATTTTGTACTTAAAATAAAAACACAACAATGATATTGTTTTATAAGTACGTGTGTTATTTTGCATTTAAAAAAGCGCCGACAAAAGGGCGAAGACAAAATGTTTAAAAAAAATGTGGGCCTCTTGGGTCTTGCAAGGGATTCAGACTGACTAATGCTGTAGTGGTAAGTGTTACATGTGTACAGATGATGTTTCTACCACATTTGATTATGTGGTGGAAGCTACTGCCCGATACCAGGGGCTTTCCTCTCCCCACGCACCATACCCCCACAATGCCAGATTTGCTGTGTCAGAAGCCCAAGGCTGGGTCCAAGCGGGGGGGAGGGGGCGCCCCCCCCCACTCCGCAAACCCCTCTGCGAGCTCGGGAGAGGCACCAGAGCTAAGCACTGCGAAGCTGGCCCAGCCCCCACTCCCTGGCCTGTGCACACACTGTAGCAAAGGGATCAGCTGAGACCAGCTGGGGTGTGTGTGGGGGGGGCGACACCACCAGGGGTCTGTCTCTCCAAAGCCCTAGCCTCAAACTGCAACCTCCTGGCAGGTGAGTGCTGTAAGGGGAAAGCCCCCCAAAGCGGAGCAGGCAGCCTCTGAGGTGGGGTGGGGGGCAAACTGGGAGCTTACTCCCCATGTGAAAAAAAGACTCCATCTTGTCTGGAGCCACCAGATTTCTGCCTTTTTTAAATTAAAAGCTCCAAAGGAGAAGCAGATTGCTCGCGCCAGGCTCTCCTTTCCTGCATGGCGCGCGGCTGGAGTCCAGGCGCAGCAGACCCAGGAGTGGGCTGGGGCAGGGGATTGGTGCAGGCTCTGGGAGGGAGTTTGGGGATGGGAGGGGTGCAGAGGGATGGGGTGAGGGCTGTTGGGTGTGGCTGCAGATGAGGGGTTTGCAGTGTGGGAGGGGCTCAGGGCGAGAGTAGGGGTGAAGGCTCTGGCTGGGACTGGGGATAAGGTGTTTGGGGTGCTGGAGGGGCTCAGGGCTCGGGCAGAGGGTGCGGTGGAGGGGTGAAAGCTCTGATTGGGGGTGTGGGCTCTGGGGTGGGGCAGGGCTGGGGATGATTTTAGGGTGCAGGCAGGCTGCTCCAGGACAGGGGCCAGAGAGGACTCCCCCCAGCCCTTTCCCTGCTGGCAGCAGCAAGCTCTGGGGGAGCCCCCCTTTCCTGCTTCCCTCCCCAGCAGCACATGGTCACTGCATGTGCTCCTACGGCCCCTCTCAGATCCAGGAATCTCCCTCGCCTCCCCCGTGGTGGGTGCCAGAGGGTGCTGCATGCGCCTCCTCCCCTGCTGCTGCCCCTGACTGTAGCCTCACTGGGGGTGAGGGATGGGGCTGCCTCCTGCCCAGTGTGGGGAAGGAGCAGTGACTGCGTGCGGGGGGCCCCCCTGTGCTGCTGGAGGGTCCTGCTGGAAAAGGGAAGGGTCTGAGGGGGAAGGGCAGGCTGAGGCTCAGAGTCAGTCTGTCCTGGCAGTGGAGATGGGGGGGCACTAGGACCCTGCACATGGAGCCACACACAGGGACACTCTGCTCCGGGGCGGGGGCAGCAAGTCGGGGCCAGGGGACACTCGGGGAAGGTGTGGGGGGGCCTCAGGGGAACACCGGACCCCAAGTATTACTGGAGCTGGGCCCCCATCTCTCCTCCTCCCAGGAGCGGCCAGCTTGCTGGAGCTCAGCTCTTCCCCCTCCCCGCCACCGATCAGCTGCTCCCTCCTGCTGGGAGACAGCTGATCGGTGGCAGGGCGGGGCGGGGCGGGGCGGGGGAAGAAGCTTGGCTGCTGCCCGCAAAGCCTGCCTTGATGTAGGAGCCCAGCGCCCGCAGCACCAAGCTTCAGAGCAGAGCGTGGGCCCCACTGGCGCCAGGTTAACCCCTAAGGCGCCACTTTTTGACAACATGCTTAGTGGGGTAGCGGCCACTACCCCTGCTCCCCCCCCCAGCTATGCTACTGCTCCACAGCCCACCTATGCCACAATAACTTATTTTCTGCATATAAAAGCCAGGGCCGGTGTTAGTGGGTAGCAAGCAGGACAATTGCCTGGGGCCCTGGCGAAGCTACATTGCTCAGGCTTCGGCTTCAGCCCCAGGTGGTGGGACTCAGAGCCCCAGGCTTCAGTCCCATGCGATGGGACTTCGGCTTTCTGCCCTGGACCCCAGCAAGTCTAACACTGGCCCTGCTTGGCGGTGCCCTGAAACCTGCTTGTGGACCCCAGGGATCCCCAGACTCCTGGTTGAGAACCACTGGAGTAGAGAACATTTCTGCTTTAGTGCCTATTGTCAGCCATGATTCTTATTTTGACTACTGAACATTCTCTGCTCATTTTCCTTTAAAGATAGGTGGAATTATGCCCAGTACGAACACTTAGCACAATAGTATAATGGTTCATCAGGGAGGCAACTTTACGTACGTAATAAATACTACTCTTTGTCCGTTTTACACAATAAATCTCAGAGCACAGACTTGATAAACATTTTTAGGGGAGAAAAGGAGAAGGAAAGAAATGAATATAAACTTTTCCAACTTAACTAATTTATATTAGAGTTCTTTGAACATAAAGATTTAAAACATATAGAACATCTTAAAGTTGTTCTAGCCCACTTCTTATTAACACTGGCATTTCAACAGCTCAAGAGTAAATGTAAATACTTGTAAAATGCCTGCATAAAAGTTACCAAAGTGTTTGTTTCAATCATGTAAACCAACTCCTGGAAAAAGAGGACATAAACAGAGTTGAATTTAGGGACACAGAGAGGTCTTTTTAAAATTAAAGACTTGAAATATCAGAAGGCAAAAAATATACTGTTTGCTTTTACACCCTCTTTTCATTGCTGTCTCAAGGGTTAAACACAAGTTTTCTTTTTGTGAATAACTGAAGGATATTTTTGGTAGTTCTATTTTTCTGACATCATGGAGTATACATTAAGATTGTCTAAAAATAACCCTTAAAGTGATAAAGGCAGGCACATTTTTTTAGTACAAAAATCCAGCCTAGTGGGTGTATTTAAAACACAGCTTACCCTGAATTATATAAAAATCTAGCCCCCTCCAAAATTAAGTCCTCCTAGATACAAGTGCCCAAACACTGTGGAAGATCTTTATGGGCTGCCAGTCCTGTTGCAAACAATTTAACATTGTAGAAATGGTTAATTGCAGACATTTTCATTGTATATTTCACTGAAACCTATTTTCAAATTTTAATGATTAAAACCAGAAAATCCAAGTATATTAATACAGAACTGCAGCAATTTTTGTAGTTTTAAACTGAATTTCAGAACTGCTCAAAGAGAATTTTTATACTATACTTGATATAATTAAAATATACATTAGATACTACTACATTATGTGTTTACTTCTGAATGGTATAATTCAAGAGAAGTTAGTACCGTCAGATTTGCCACCTTCCAAAATTCTGAATGGTCATTTCATTTATCAATGTAGAAACATTTTCTACTCCCCAAATTAAGATAGTTTCAGAGATATGTGCCCTGTTGAGATGGCAAAATATGCCTTGAGTAGAAGTGAGAGGTGTAAAAAATGGTTACAGTGATACCGAAATTTACTGATATCAGCTTATTATTTGAATGGTAAAGAAGTTACATTCATTTTGAGCTCTATAGTTTCATTTTCTTCTTTTGCTGTGCACCTTCTGATTTTCGTTTCTTGAGCATCACTTGCCTATCTCCCTTTGCTGATTTATCACTATTATCAGTCCAACAAACTTTCTTTTTCCTAGTTATCAATGGCTGTTCATCTTCATTTACTGAAACAAAGGAGAAAGTTATTCATCATGAGTTTTTAAGTTCAATATTTGGAATCTCTGATGGCATGAAGTACAAATTTATTTCCCCCCATTTTAAAAAGAAATTGAAACAGCATGAGCTCTATAATCTATTTTAGCGGAAGAGATGAGAGTGCCATGGTATGCAGTGTCCAAACATCAAGCGAGCAAGTAAATGTATTTTAGATGGTCAAGCATGACTGCCGAGAAAAAAATACTGGGCTAGATTTTCTAAGTTAGGCCCATGCAATGGGTAAATACATCTGTCCATACCTACTTTATGCATACATACCTGACATGCAAGTGACCTATTAGGTACACAAAACTGCATACGTTTAATTTTGAAAATCTGACCCAACAGGTTTAAGGACACATGCACAGCATCTGCCAGTCAAAAACAGTATCCTAAAAGCCTGAGCATTTTATTTACATAAATATTACCACTCTAATTCTTACTTAAAGGTACTTAGAGAAGACTGCAGAGAATTAAGATTTTGGTCAAACTAGCTGTGACCCTCCGAGCACCCCAATGCCAGATGGCCAGGGCCTCACTAGTATATAACAGTAAATCTCAGCTGGCCTGACCAGCTCAATGAACTTCACACACTTGTTATAATATTCATTTAAAAGGTGTCTTGTAATATATCACTGGAAAACCAATAACCCGCTGGTCATTAATATCACTGTGAAATGTGTGTAATAATGCTGTATGTGAAATTATGGATATTCCGATATTATGATTTGGAGTCTGTAAACCAGTGGTTCTCAAACTTTTGTACTGGTGACCCCTTTGACATAGCAAGCCTCTGTGTGCAACCCCCCTTTTAAATTAAAAACACTTCTTTACGTATTTAACCCCATTATAAATGCTGGAGGCAAAGTGGGGTTTGGGGTGGAGTCTGACAGCTTGCGACCCTCCGTGTAATAACCTTGTGACCCCCTGAGGGGTTCCGACCCCCAGTTTGAGAACCCCTGCTGTAAACAGACAAAAGAGAAAGGCCAACACCTCTATAGCTCAACTGCAGATTGAACCAGGTAAGACAAGAGACAAGGACAATGAGCCATTCATTTGCATCGGAGATTGCAGGAATATCATTTGCACTGTAAATCTCAGGAGACTGCAAAATTAACATGGCATCTGGTCCCCGGTGGAGACAGAATGTTGAGCCCAAAAACTCACACCTGCTCTCATATTTTCTATTTTCTCACTATATTAATAGCACTTAAATAGGAATTATTTTCAACATAAAATAATCAAGATGGACCTCTGTTACCATAAGAAGAGGTTGTAGCATTGTCAGGGTTCTCTTTGGTTTCTGAAGTTCTGTCTAGCCATACTGCTAGACATGTAAGCCTGGCTTTGGTATTGACTTCACATAGCAAAGATGGTCTATCCTGGATCTGAGGAAAATATAGAAACAGATTCATTAAAAGGTTATTTCAATATAGTTTAAGTCACTTAACCTGTACATCTACTTTTAAGGCCTTATATCTCCACGCCACAACTGTTAACTGTGGTTTTGTAATGCTGTCAAAGCCATGGCTGCCTTAAGGGTACATCTTGAGGGGCAAGACGGGTGTGTTTTTTAATCACGTTGGTTCAACTGAGAGAGCTCAACACAACTGAAAACATTAGTTGGCTGGCTGTAGCCTGGGTGAATCTTGGCTACAACAAAGCTAGCTAGTCTGCAACTTAATGGGGCTCAGTGGTGTTAAGCTAACATGACTGAAATATATCCCACCCCCCATTTATTTCATCAAATACAGGGTTATAACTGGTTACAAGTAACATGGTTCAGTTTATGTGCACACAGCAGCTTTTCTGCAATCACAACCACATTTGTGTATCTACATCTACCATACTGCTTAACTGTGTTTGTATCAGTGTGCTTTGGGAAAATCTGGGCAAACATTCCATAATATCTCATCAAAACAAAGTGTGTCCTGAGAACACACAGAATAGCAATAGCAGCCCATGAAGCACTGCACTTTGGAATGTCCCACCACACAGAGAGTTAGGAGGAGGAAGGAACAGGCACACCAGTTACGTAAACATGTTTAGGACAGCAGCACTTGCGGGGGGGTGGGGGGGAGCATCCTGAACCAGTAACAGCAAAACAACCATGTGCCAGCCTAGGTCTCTGGCTGAAGCCAAACAAACGCTGTTAGCTGCCATGGTTGCTGAGCTTTAACAATAATGTTTAAATCTTGGAATGTGAACTTCTTGGATCAGGGATTGTCTTTGTGTCATTTGTACAGTGCCTAACACAATGAGGCCCTCTTTGAGGTCCTTAAATGCTACTGTAATAACAACGATGATAAAAAAGTGAGGACATAACCCACAATTGGAGCCAACCAAGGCAGTAATTGGCTACAAACTTGGTTAAAAATTGTAGTGAGGACTAGGTCTATCACATTTCAATGAAGAATGAATAATTTATAAACCTTGGCTAACTATAGTTACTAAAACTGTTCATCTTTTTGCATCATGGAAAAAGGCATTGGGATAAAAATGAAAAAGACACATTCTGAAGTGATTTTTTTTTCTGCTTCGTTAAAAAATAAAATGTTTGGAATAAATACTGAAATAAAAGTGCTCAATATAAAATTGAAATGCCTAATGTATCACCATCTTTGATTTTTTTCAATCAGGACTGTATTTTTCCCCTCCTGAACACAAAAAATAAATAATACATTTTGTGTTTTTAAAGAGTGGTGTTAGTCACCAACATTACAAACATTATAGTAACCACCAAAGCATAACAGATTGATTAGGAAGCTGTAAGTGTGGCCAGTTAGATATCAGGGAGAGCATAACCTTGCACAAGATGGAGGGGTGAAGTGACTTGAGAATTTCATAATTTTTTTTTTAAATCACCACTAAAAATTAAAAGTTTTTAAAGTTATGTAAGAGGAATTGATAGCCAAAAGATCTAAGTGCATATATATAAAAAAAATTCTGATAAACATGGTGTGGATGAAGTTCAGGATTTCTAGATTGCAAACAGGTTTATTCAATATTTTAAAATAATTTGTAAATGCATGTGTGACACTGCACCCCATATTCTTCGCAGTGATATTATTATGATATGATTATGACATCATCATGATTTTATGCAAGATAGGTCATGTGAGGTAGCATTGGAAAAGTTATAATTTGCTGAATATGATTATCCTATTTGTATGCATGTATCATTTTTGTATATGAAGTTATGAATATTGACTATGTATCTATTTCACATGTAGCCTTCCTGGGCAATGCCTACTAGGCAAAATCCTTTCAGTCTAGATGGCTGGCTGGGAAGGGCCCATTCAGGTTAATGAGCCATTAGGAAGAAACAATAGGCTTTAGGAGAAGCATATCTCCACCTGGGGATCCTTCCTGAGGATGCTACAGACAGCATCCAAGTAATGGCTGCTATGACAGGGACATGTGACCAGGTCACCTGGTGCTGGTCCTCCACCTTGGGATATCAGTATTTTTCCACTAACTGGCATGGGAACCAAATTGTGAAACAAAGGGTTCCCACCATATGCAAAAGCTATATAAAGCAGGGGAGTGACATCATTTTGGTTCTTCACTGATTCCCAACCCAAGAAGACTCCTGGAAACACCTAAGAAACAAAGACTGAGTTGGGGGAAGTGCTGGACCCAGGATAAAGGGATTTTTAGCCTGTGAATGGGACATCTGGGAATTCCAAGCTATAAACAAGTGCAACTTGCCTCCTAAGAATCTGCAGCCTGCTTGTATTATCACTTAGGGTGAGAATTTGCTATTCATATCCAATCTCGTTAGTATATTAAGCTCAGTTTGCATTTTTGTTTATTTGCTAGGTAATCTGCTTTGATCTGTTTATTATCCCTTATAATCACTTAAAATCTATCTTTTGCCGTCAATAAACTATTTTGCTGTATCTAAAACCAGTGTGTGGGAGTCATAACTTGGGGCATAAAGCTGTTGTATATTCCTCTCCCCATTGAGGGAGGGGGCAAATTTCATGAGCTTACACTATACAGTTCCCTGCATAGTGCAAGACGGTATAATTTTGGGTTTACACTCCAGAGGGGGTGCATGCCTGAGTAGCTGGGAAGTTTCCTAGCTGGAGCCTTTCCATGCAGGGCTGATCACAGCATCTGCATGTAACTGTAGCTGGGTGTGTTCTGGTGAAAGTGCAGGCTGGAGCCTGGAGAGAGCTTGTCACAGCAATACTGTGTAAAGGGAGCCCAGGCTGGTGGGTCAGGGGGGCTCTGTGGTACGCCAGTTCCAGGAGGTACCCCGGGGGAATCTGTCACAGCAGATGCTGTGCTGCTTTTTAAAACCTAATGTTAACCTGCAAATTAGTTCTCCAGAATTTTTCCATGAGTTGTTAATGTACTAACCTTATCAAGTTCAAGACTCCACAATTTAATGTATCCATCACTGGATGCAGTAACAATAACCTGTAGTCCTTGCTTTTCAAAACTGTAGATGTCTTTTATTCTAGAACAAAATATAATACCTGGATACTTAATACTATGACAGGTGGCTTCAAACAATAAGGACAAATGGTAAGAAGTTGTCAGAATTTAAAAATGAAGAGAGAACATTCTACACGTCATTTAGAGAGCCACAAACTATGGATGCTTTATGTGAATATTTTTGATTTAGGCACGTAAGATACAGCTCATACACAGGACTAATCTGTTTTGTATTCTGCCATTGGGAGCAATATGTGCCTTTGAAAAATACATGTTGAGGACTGTTAGGACCCTGATTCAGGAAAGCACGTAAGTGCTTAATTTTAAGCACATGCTGAACACTCACTGATATCAACAGCACTTTAGCATATGATTAAGTGCTTTGCTGAATTGGCATCTAAATTAAGACAGAGTACTAGATAGTTCTTTAATGATAAAGGGGAACATATAAGATTCCCTTTCTACTGGCCTGGATGGAGTCCAACTGTGCTATTTTACATAGGTGTCCATTTGGATACCACTGCAAGATTATAAATTGGTAACAGCTTGCTAGTCAATCCTTATGTGGATTCAGGAAAGAAATAAGAGACTCCTTATGCCATTTTTTTCTATTTTTATTCATAGATTCTAAGGCCAGAAGGGACCATTGTGATCTAGTCTGACCGCTTATATAACAAAGGCCATAACTTTACCCAAAATAATTCCTAGAGCACATCTTTTAGAAAAATATCCAATCTAAAAATTAGCATTGATGGACAACTGTTTGAGTTAGTACCTGGTGGTGAGCAAGACTTATGACTGCTTTGTGGGGAAGACCATGGAAAAGGTGCAGACACTACCAAAGCAACTAAGTTCTGGTACATGTTTGTCAAAATACCTGCATAGACATTGTGGTTTGGGCTGGAGATCGGGTTCTCAAACTTGAGGGTTGAGGTGGACTTGAGACCCTGAGCTGCCACGTCAAAGCTACCTCTACACAGCTATGTTTAGTGCGCTAGTGCGAGCCCCGCTGGCATAGATCTATGGACCTGAGCTGCAAGACTCACTCCCACATGCAGTGTAGACATACCCACTGTGTTTTAGAACAGAAGCACATTCCTCCAATGCAATTTGTTCCACCTCTTTTTCCGCTGTCTCCATCCTTTCTTGGCAATTTATACACCTTCCTCTCCTTCCTTACATGCTTTGACCATTAGTGAAATATTGAACAATATAGGTGACTAAATTATCATCATTGGGCATCTGAGCTAAGACCATTTAGATGAACAGAACAGTTCACACCTCTCCGAGCTATAATTTCCAGTTCTCTGCAGATGCAGGCAAACATCTCTGCATCTGTTTAATTTGTTTTGCTTGTTTTCAAGATTCTCTCCTCAACCACAAGGGCTTGAAATTTTAATTAAAAACAAAAACAAAAAAGAGTAAGCTGAGATTCTGGGAACAAGATAAAAAAATGCTAAGTACCGTTTGGCACCCTCGTGCCGAGGATAGATTAGAAATGAAACCTGAAATTCTTAAAAAGTAGTTCCTCAAGAACTGATTTGAGGCACACTGATGGGGCAAAATAGGTCATTATGCAATTCTTGTGCCTGTGCTGTAACTATTTTATGGATAAAAAAATCATAATCTGGAGGTATAAATCCGTATCTCTTTAGAATACAGCCACGACAATTTAAAATCACATACACACAACAAACTGTATTTAACATATATAAAAAGATCATCATATATATCCAGTGGGGAGGTATTAAAATAAATCTCACACAGGGATTCCTTCATGTTTCATATAACAGGTGTACACTTACACTCAGTGAGAATGCACAAATCTGTATTGAATTTGCAACTCAGTACATCAGAAACAAGGCAGTTTACTTTCTATTTTAAAAATAAAAATAAACTGTATTAAGCCAAGATGTTCTCAATGTCGCCACTAACCAGGCAGTAGTGTGTATTCAGCACTGCCATAAATTTTAAAACAATTTAAGAGGACAAATATAAAATACCTGTTTTCATGAGCTTTAAATTCACAAAGGCACTTTTGTGAGTCACAATCGTACAGTCTTATAACTTCATCATCTCCGGCAATAGCAAGAACAGAATCCTTGAAGACGAAGAGAAGAAAATGCAGATGAGGCTAAAGTAATTCAAACAATTTAGTTTCCCACCCCCTTCTTTTATGTACTTACTGTTATAAATCTAACTGAAGAAATTCTCTTCTCAGTTGTGATGGCACCACTGACAGATGCTGTTTCAAGTTTGTAGACATCCACTTTATTAGTTACGACCACCACATACTTCTCTCCACTGGGAGACCATTTAACTATGTGTGCATCTGAACAATTTTAAGTAAAAAACAACCAGAAAGACCATAAATTTTGCCATAATAATAATTTAAAAACTCTGAATCTCATTCTTGACATCTTCACTCTGGAATCTTTAACATGCAATGTATATGACCCCAATCCTGCAAATATTTATGCCAATGCTTAATTTATTATTATCAGAAGTAGTACTATTGACTTGAATGATGCTCATAGTAGTAAATGTAAGCATATGCATGTGTGTTTTCAGGATAGAAGATTATATTACCACCCGGAAGGGGAAATCATATCAAATCTTCATATCTACTGGAATAAATCTAGTAGTGGCAAAACAGATTTTTAAAGACATTGTTGGGTTCCAAAATTTAGATTTTGTAAAAACAAGCTTTTACAAAACCCTACCTAAAATCAATGTTCCAAAGAACTAAAAACAGAAACTTCCAATAAAGAGTTATATTTTGAAACAAACATTTTTCTGTAGTCTTTGCAACCCAAATTCATGTTAGTGCATAAGAATCTAAATGTGAAAATCTTTAGAAACTGTCTAGTCTATTTTCAATGTCCAAGCTGAAATAAATGCAGAAAGTAAAGTAATACAAATACTACTACTACTACCAGAATAAATAGCAAACTATTTTTTTAATTTTTCGGTTTTGATAATCTAAAGTGTTATAATTAAAAGAGGTACAGAATTTAAAAAAAATGATTTTTAGCCTAACAATGTGTATTTGAGGAAAGAAATAAGATTTCTGCCATAGTATTACTATAGCCTGTCCATGGCAATTTCTGTATTGAGGATATGTGCTTTTGATATTTAGTATAAGGTAGAGCAGAGGGAATTACCATAATTAAAAAGTCAAACATTTGCAAACCAAAGGCTACTCCAGTGTATCTTTTAAACAAACATGCACATACATAAAAGGAACTCATCTGATTTTAGTTTTAATAAATACTTTGCAGATTAGATTGACACACTCACTTTGCTTCAGATTTTTGATGAAGGCAGATCGTCCTTCTACAAGATTCCATGTTCTGTAAAATACCAAAAAGGGGTTGAATATTCATCACTTAAAATAGCACAGAGAAATTAAAGTACCATTTACTAACCATTGTAAGGCTATGTTTTAGTCACGGGTATTTTTAGTAAAAGTCATGGACAGGTCACAGACCTGTCCATGACTTGTACTATATACCCCTGACTAAATCTTGGGTGCTCTGGAGGGGGGGCTTCGGGGGCACCGCAGGTACTCTAGGACCGCCGCTGCTGTGTGTGTGTAGGGGGACAGCACGTGGCCGGGGACCCTGCTGGTGCTGGGGAGGGCGGGGTAAGCACACAGCCCGGGACCACCGCTGGTGCTCAGGGGAGGGCGGGGGGAGGAGGGGCAGCGCGGCCCAGGACTACCGCTGGTGCACGAACGGGGGGGGGGGGGAGGGGGGAGATGGCAGCATGTGCCCGAGACTGCCACTCGCACTGTTCTTTAAAAGAAATACTTTAAAATGCTGTTGCTATTTTTAAAAATGTAATAGTCTGCACTCCCGTCTAGAGCAGGCCATCCAGTCCTCCTCCCAACACCAATCTCTTAGCTTTGTATTCTTCCCTGAAAGGTTGGCACTTGTTCCACCTGCAACTGACATCAGTCTTGAGACTAACAGAAGACATCAATCTAGCACAGGGGTAGGCAACCTATGGCACGCGTGCAAAGGCGGCACGCGAGCTGATTTTCAGTGGCACTCACACTGCCCGGGTCCTGGCCACTGGTCCGGGGGGCTCTGCATTTTAATTTAATTTTAAATGAAGCTTCTTAAATATTTTAAAACCCTTATTTACTTTACATACAACAGTAGTTTAGTTATATATTATAGACTTACAAAAAGAGACCTTTTAAAAACGTTAAAATGTATTACTGGCACGCGAAACCTTAAATTAGAGTGAATAAATGAAGACTCGGCACACCACTTCTGAAAGGTTGCTGACCCCTGAAGCAGTTTGATAAAGGTGGGCTTCCCTACTCCTTTGTGTTAAAAGGCCAGTTTTGTATACTACAGAGTCAACAGGATGAATATTAACTCTTTAATATTTCAATGGAGCTAAGAGGAAATTTCAAAGTGCTCGGTACAGCTACACTATGGAGACTTCACCAGTATAGCTACATCACCATAACTATGCCAGCATGACCCCCTAGTATTCATAGATCATAGAATATCAGGATTGGAAGGGACCTCAGGAGGCCATCTAGTCCAACCCTCTGCTCAAAGCAGGACCAATCCCCAAACAGATTTTTGCCCCAGATCCCTAAATGACCCCCTCAAGGATTGAACTCACAACCCTGGGTTTTGCAGGCCAATCCTCAAACCACTGAGCTATCCCGATGCAGACTAGACTGATGGAACACCTCTTCCCTGAATGATGGTTGCTATGTCAATGGAAGCCCTCTACCATAACCATAGCTGCATCTACGCTGGGGGTTAGGTTGGCATAGCTATGTCGGTCAGAGGTGTGCGGGGTTTTTTTTACATCCCTGACTGACATAGCTATGATGACCTAACTTAAGTGTAGGCTCAGGCACAGATGTACTCTGTCTAGATTCTAGAGTGACCCTTATCCCAACCATAATCTCTGCCTGGTATAAAACAAAGTGAAATTCAAAGGTACATTTTGATAGACCAGGAATCCTGCAAGTGTGAAAACATACACTGTTACATAGGTTAACTGACAGCAGCGTCACAGATGCTTCCCTGATCCTTGCTTCACAGTCTAGTCCCAATATATAATCCTTGCTTATAATTCAATAAGAGAACTTAGTAGTAAATTTCACTAAGTAAGATTTTCAGCCAGTTTTGACTCACCTTAATGTTTTGTCTGTTCCTACTGACAAAGCTAATTTTCCAGAAGGGTGAATAGAAAGAGATGTCACATGCCCCCTAATAAAATCAACAACAAAAAGTTAATCGTATTTTCTTTGTCACATAAATAACCAAAAATATCTAAAAAAGAAGCAGTTCAGAAGACTCACTTATGTGCTTTAATGGATTTCAGACATTCCCATTTCTTTGTGTCCCAAATACAAATTAATCCATCTTCTGCTCCACTCAATAAGTGTGCATTCCCATAGAACTCCAGGCAAGTTATCGTGCCTACAGAACAAGATCAGCACTATTAAGCTACATTATGACACCCTGAATAAAAATACTACACAAAAAATAGTTTTATATAAAACGCAAGATATTCACTTAAAGACATGCTAATATTTTAAAACTTAATTGCATAACTTCCAATAAAGTCACACATATGAAATTGTATTTTGAAGTGCAAAATGAAAGTCACTTAAATTGTTGTCATTTTGCATCACACCTATAACAGATACCTTTTCACATAATACCTGTCTAGGAATTACATCATTATAAGTACACCTCATATATTATTTGCAAGAATAATGCATGCACAAAACATGCAGCAATGCCTCTCTATCTGTGAAAGAACAGCCTGCCTCTAACATCCAAACATGCCAGCCTTTTGTTCTGCTTGTTAGATGAAACCTGGCTTCCTTACTATATATTTCTTCATGACAATAAGTTTAACTACCATATTTAAATCACTGATGCCCCTCTATTGTCCTTGTCTGTTGTAGCATACAATTTTGAATTCTGTCTGATCCCTCGCTCTCTAAAGTAAGTCACATTTATTTATTTATGTACATTTGATAATTCCTTAATCCATTTCAAATGCATCTCAACTGAGGCCCCATTAAAAATTGACAGTTCTCTGTTACAGAAACACACCCACCAGTAAATCATGTAATTAATACCTCTAAAAAGAAAAGTTCCCTTACCATTATGATGCAGCAATGCCCCATGTTCTATCTTCTTTTTCATATCATATATTTGGATTGTTTCATCTCTGCTACCAGTGACTACATATCTGTTATTCACAGCTACTGCTGATAATGAGGCAGTGTGGGCATGATGGGTAAAGTCAGGGATAGGCGTCCAGTTCTGAAAACAAAATATAAAATGAATGAACCTTTTTAGAAACACACCCAGTGTGATGTTTTAACTTGTCTATGATTAGATTGTCAATATCATAGTATAAGACTAATTTTTAAAATAGCAAAAACTAGCCATGCTCATTTTGCCAAACATACAAAAACGTTATATTCTGTTACAAATCTAATGGGACCCTGTGAAGGAAGTTTCCTAGTGGTCACTGTATGATTAGAATGACACCATCAACCTAACAACTCTCCGGTCTCCAGAGCTTCGGTTGTGACTGGTGATGGGGGTGGATTGGTGCTTTGTGGAAAGAGGTTCTATGGCTTCCAGAAGAAAGAGACAAGTCGAGGCTCTTAGGAAAATCCAAGCCAGTCCTGCCCTTTCTCCTTCAGCACTTTGGCAACGACTGCCTAGGAAGGAGTACTGCGGAAACGAATCTAGGGGTTATTTAGTGGATCACAAGCTAAATGAGAGTCAACAGTGTAACACTGTTGCAAAAAAAGCAAACATCATTCTGGGATGTATCAGAAGGATTGTTGTAAGCAAGACATTAGAAGTGATTCTTCCAATCTACTTGGTGCTGATAATACCTCAACTGGAGTATTGTGTCCAGTTCCGGGAGATACATTTCAGGAAAAAGGTGGACAAATTGGAGAAAGTCCAGCAGAGAATAACAAAAATGATTAAAGGTCTAAAAACCATGACCTGCGAGGAAAGATTGGAAAAACTCGGTTTGTTTAGTTTGGAGAAAAGAAGACCGGGGTTGGGGGTGGGGTGTAAATAACAGTTTTCAAGTACATAAAAGGTTGTTACAAGGAGGAGGTGAAAAACTGTTTTCCTTAACCTCTGAGGCCAGGACAAGAAGCAATGAGCTTAAATTGAAGCAAGAGAGATTTAGGCTGGACATTAAGAAAAACGGTTGTGGAATCTTTGTCAATGGAGGTTTTTAAGAACAGGTTAGACAAACACCTGTCGGGAATGGTCTAGTTATTACTTTGTCCTGCTTTGAGTGCAGAGGACTGGACAAGCTGACCTACTGAGGGCCCTTCCAGACTACACTTCTACAATTCTATATTCTCAACATTCCCCTCTCCACCCTTACTATGCAGCCTTGATGCTTCCCTGAGTAGTTGAAGCAGAGGTGGTAAATTGTGGAACTAATGTGCCATTTGCTGCAATCACATAGTTTTTTCTGCAGGTATGTTTTATGCCTTCCACCCCGCTGTATCTGTCTTTTCTAGGTAGGGTGTAAACACTTCAGATCACAGACCATCTAGTGTTCTATGTCTGGGCAATGCCCAGCAAAACAGGGCCCGATTCTGGGTTGGTTGTTAGGTATTAAGGACCACAATAAATGTACTAGATAATAATCATAAAAAGCGTGGCACTCTGTGCCCCTCTAGAGGTGGCTGGGCCAAAGAGAGTGTGGCTATGCCCATTGCAGCAGGGTAACTCGGGCTGCAAAGGCGCCTGCTTTTAGAGCCCCGCAGGGGACAAGGCCCCCAGAGGACAAGGCCCCCAGACATGCGGAGTTGCACCAGCATGTGGTTGGGTCCAGGGGCAGGGAGGGCTGACATGGAGCTGGCGACGTGCAGCGAGAGGGAGGCGCAGTGTTGGCTGCCCGTCGTGTGCAGCAGGCAGGACTCCCGGCATCCCCTGCTGCAAGCCGGGCCCCGGCGCTGATCAGATCAGCTGCGAGCAGCCACGCCCGGCTCACAGCTCGCGCCACTCACCGCACCGGCCACGAGCGCCCAGCAGGGGGAACCCATCGGCGGCGCGCGCGCGCGCGCCTGGAGCCACCCTGCTTAAAGCCCGCGTGGAGGCGGGCAGCATTGGACGCGCGCACCTCCGCGGTAGGTTACTGGGACACCCGGGCCCCTGGGTGACGGGAGGGCCACCAGCAGCTGCCACCCCGGCGCCGTTACCTCCTCCGGCCGCACCGCGAACCCGAAAAGAATCTGCTCGTAACAGCCGCCGACTAGCTCCATCTCCCGGCGCGACCCCGGTCCTCCTTCCCCCACACTCGGAGGCGACGCCTGGGGTCCTTCCATCCATCCGTCGCACAGGCTGTCCAGGCACTGCCTGAGCCGAAATTGACAACGCCCGGACACCCCCGAGCCCGCAGCCCACCCCTCGGGTTTTCTAGCCGGGGTGTATCCGTTGGAGTCCCCGAGTCGGATAGAGAGTGCGCGGGCTGTGGGCGCGGTAGGGCCCTGGGGTTGGGGTAACAGGCGTTGCTGGGGGCAGCCTCAGCGTGAGGTCCCGGGCGGGGGCGGAAGTAGGACCCGTCCTGCTCCTTATGGCGACGCCGTGGATGGGAGACGTTAGTGCCGGGACCGGGTCGGGGGGAGGGGAGGGGAGGGAGTGAGGGCCTCGCGAGCAGGGGGAGGCCGAGGGGAGGGGCTTCTCTCGTCCTCCCAGGATTATCACCCCCGCTCCCGGGGCGGTGTCTGTCCTTCCCCTTCCCCTGGGCCTTTCCCGGAGCCGCCGCCGCCCCTCCCCCTCTCCTGGCGGGCGCCTCCGCCCGCTGACTCCCCGCGCCCCCAGGAGGCCGGGGAAAGTCACCGGGGGAATCCGCCCGTGGGACCATCGGGGGTCGGGTCGCTGCCCTCAGGGTCAAACGGCCGCCCTGGGTCAGCGGGTGAAAATATCCCCCCTCTATACTCCCCCCTTACTGATCCTTTAAACGTTCCTGCCCGGGGGGCGCTCTGCGCCTTTGCCACGCAACATAAATACCGTCACACGCAAACCACGGGCAGCAGCTTCCCTCCCCCCATCAACTATAACCAGTTCCCACCCTTACACAGCCCGAGAGTGTCTCCTCTGTTTTACTGTGTAGTGACTTACAGCTTCGAGGTCTTAACCATGCCTCTGGATATTTGATTCGCCGGCCATGGTTTTTCCATTTTACTATAAAAAGAACAGGAGTACTTGCAGCCTGTAGTCCACGAAAGCTTATGCTCTAATAAATTTGTTAGTCTCCAAGGTGCCACAAGTACTCCTGTTCTTTTTGCAGATACAGACTAACACGGCTGCTACTCTGAAACCTTTCATTTTACTATAAAGTCTGAAAAAAGAATTGGAATTAAGGCTATTTATGCACCAATAGTTGCATAATGGTTCTTTTTTTTTTTATTTTTTTTTTAAGCTTACCTTTACAAATCTTTCCTTCATGCTACTGCCTGAAAAAGTTAGGCCTGGTCTACACTAAAAAAGTTTTACTGATAGGACTGTCAGGTGATATGTTCTACCTATACAGTTATAAGCCATATTTTGGATGCAGTTAGACACGTATAAAGGTGCTTTTTATGCTGGTATAGCTTATTTTGCTTCCCATCCCAGAATAAGTTATACTAGTCTAAGCATTTTGATACAAATATAATTAAATTCACCCTAGGGTATTTTTGTCACTTTAACTATATGAGTATAATTAAAGAGACAAAATTTTCAGTGTAGACAAGCCCTTACATGCATGCTTAAGGTTAAACGTGAGTAGTCCCATTGAGTAGCTTTATTGGAGTCAAATATTTGAAGTTAAGCATGCAAGTCTTTCCAGGATTGGGACCTTAATAACTAAATGGTAAAGTTAGTATGAAAAAGTAATGTATCCTGTCAATGTGCATGCCTCTAACTTTTTTTAAATTTGTTTGAATTACAGTGAAAAGATCAAATGACAACACTGAAGCTCAGAGAATAAAATACCAAAAATATTGTTTCGTATAGAAGACCATGATAACTGTGATCAAGATATTATTGCCTCACTTTTTTTTCTGATACAATTTTTCTGCGGTCAAATTGCTTTTTTATTGTGCTGCAGCTTGCATTAAATGTGCACACAGAGTGGTAAGTCCAAAAACAAACAGCATAAGTGGTCAAAAGTAAATTGGACAGTTTTTAATCTAAACGCCTAGTATTAGAATTTTATTTTTTTTATACAAAAGTGGAATTCTGTTGGCTCTGTCTCTTTTTAAATAGCAGAACTATAGTAAAACCTTGCTGATGCACATTTTGCTAATATGTGCACTTCCTAATTTGTGCAAAATGACATCTATCTCTATCAGGAAAGAGTTAATAGTAGAGTGCTATTGTAAAGTCTCCCATATTGTTAAAAAAAATAATTGCTGAAATTCAAAATGAAGTGCTGATCTTGAAAAAATTAAAGCAGTGGTCTCCAATCTTTTTATGCCCAAGATCACCTTTTGAATTTAAGGGCAACCCAGGATCTACCCCTTCCCTGAGGCCTTGCCCTGCTGACTCCATCCCCCCCTCTCCGTCGCTCGCTCTTCCCCATCCTCACTCACTTTAACCGGGCTGAGGAAGGGGGTTGGGGTTCGGGAGGGGGTGCAGGCCCTGTGCCGGGGTCCAAGGGGTTTGTAGTGTGGGAGCAGGCTCTGGGCTGAGCCTGGGGCAGGGGGTGCAAGCTTTGGGAGGGAGTTTGGGTGCAGAAGGGGGTATGAGGTGCTGGCTCTAGGAGGGGAGTCGGGGCAGGGGGTTGGGGTGCTGGATCCAGGAGGGGGTTGGGGTGCGGCCTCCCGCAGGGCGGCATTTACCACGAGCAGCTCCCGGTTTGTGGTGCAGTGAGGCTAAGGCAGGCTTCCTGCCTGCCCCAGCCCCACACTGCTCCCAGAAGGAGCCAACATGCCCCTGTGACCCTGGAGGGGCACGTAGCTCCACGTGCTGCCCCTCTTTGCCAGCACCGACCCCTCAGCTCCCATTGGCCACAGTTCCCCATTCCCAGCCAATGGGAGCTGCAGTGGTGGTACTTGCAGGCAGGAGCATTGCGCCAAGACCCCTGCCCCCAACCCCAAAGGGGCCGTGGGGCTGTGCTAGCCACTTCTGGGAGCGGAGTGGGGCTGAGGCAGGCAGGGAGCAAGCCTAGCGACAGCCCCGCTGCACCACCGGAGATCGTGATCGACTGGGAGAGTCCCCAGGATTGACTAGTCGATTGCGATCAACTGGGTGGTGACTACTGGATTAAAGCATGTGAATGACTAGTCACATGAATAGTCCCACTGAAGTCAGTGGGGTTGCTCACCTGTTACAAAGTTATGTGCGTGTTTAAGGGCTTGTCTATACATGAAAATTAATTTACATTAAGGAAGGTTGTGAATCTAAAGCCCAGTTGCTGTTCCTGAATAACTCCATATGTAGACAAGCTCGAAGTCTTTGCGGTACTGGGGTTTTAAGTTTTCAAACTGTGTTACTATTGTGATTTACTAAATTTGCAATAGTTCCCATAGTCATTAGAATGAAAGATGTACTACGTATTTTGCTACATAGATCCCACTTTATTCCACATAACAGAAATCTGTTATGTGGAATAATAGGGGGTGGAATTTCATCAGGCAAGCATTTATTAATGTGTACAAAATACTCTATTGCAAATGATTTTTACATTCAGTAAGAGTTTTAAAAAAATTGTTGAGGGAAAGTGCTGTGTGCAATGACTTGCTTTAATCCCCAACATTGTTTGACTAGCAAGATGATTTAAAAGAAAATACATAGTGAATAGCTATTTCAGATTTTCCTTAAAAATTGTATAGAGCAAGTGAGTGAGCTAAGGGGAAAAGACATTGAAACTAATGAAATGACTGCACAAAGCTGTAGCCCTAGCACGGGCCTTTGGCCGCTATTGTAATACAAATAATAATGAGAGGCTAAATTCAGAGGTGCTAAATGGCTATGTAAATTACAAGTCAGTAAGAGGGTGAAATTTGCATACCAAGCTGGCAGAAGGGCGGTAGCTAGGAAAGATACAGGAGGGCAAAATTCTCCCTTTTTTCTACCTTATATCGTCTTGTTGCTTTTACCGCTACAGCTGCCTCTTCCATATGTACCACTCTGCACTCTTATTGATTTGTAACTTACACCAACAACCAAGGCATCTTTGAGTTTGGCCCAAAGAGAGGAGGAACCAAGGAAACCTCAAAGGCCCATAAAAATGAGCTAGCTATCTTTTTAATCTTTTGGATGATAGATGTTTCTTCACTTCTAAGCTGACCTTATATCCCCCACCAACCAAGCACATATTTAAAATAATAGTATGGAAAACCTTGAGGCAGGGGTGGAATAAGAACAAAAACTCGCAACTGTCCTCTAGAATAGAGAAGTTGAAAGATAATTACTGGTCTTGGTGAATAGAAAGGATGTGTGTGCTCATTCCAGGTTATCCCCAAGTCAGGCTGTGTCTCGATATGATGCAATGATGATTTGATCCACAAGTGGTCAGTGGTTGCCAATAGCAGTAGTCTGCATAAGTGTATTATGGTTAGGCTTTTGCAATGCAAGTCTAAGCTCTGGAACCTTTCAAAATTCCCCAAGTTAAATTTCTTAAATCAGATTTAAAAGAAAGTGAACAAGTTCTCAGCTGTGCAGCAACAAATGTTTTTAGTTTGTTTAATTACTTTTCATAAAAGCTTCTCTCCTCCTCCCCTTTTTCTTTAAATAGAGGATCAGAATAAATTGTGAAACAGTGCAGCATTCCTTGTGAAGAAAACTTCTGAACAGTGGCAAACCAGGTAAGATCATCTGGTGAGAACAAGTCCAGGTCCACAGTGCTTAGGAGGGATTCTAAACCATATCCAGAATTCTGAGCAAATATAAAACTAAAATAGTTTCTCTGAGTAGGTGAATTCTAGCCCTGTGGTTCCTTCAGGTAATTTGCTAATTAATTACTCTCCCCTGCTCTGGAAACCTAATTATATCAACTGAAGCAGGTTGTGGGACCTGACATGAAGCATTGGACTTCCCATTATTTAAAAGTGAGTTCTCATGGAGGGGCTTGCCTGTAACACACTCTGAGCAGGATATATGCAAGCACTCACACAGACATTAATGTTCTACTTCTAGTAAGTAAAATGTATTGAGAAATACCAAATGTATTAACTCTTGGAGCCCTAAGGATGAGAATCCTCATTCTTAAGATTCTAAGGTGAGGAACGTGACCTGCGTTAACTCTACAACCATCTCCCTCCTTCTCTTCTCTGTAGTTGTCCTACCTCCTTCCTCTTTTTTTGAGTGAGGCATGCTTTCTGCCTGTTTCTTCTTTGCCCTGCATCTGGGCATGAGTTCCCCTGGGCTCCAAACTAGAGTCTATCTGTGTCCCTCGTCTGCTTTCCCCTTGCATCCCATCTACCAACCTCCTCTTGGTTCTTGGCCTGAGCGAGTGACTGACAACTAGCTGTGAGGAGAGGTGTCTCACAGCAGCAGGAAGGGAAGATCTCCCAGCAAAAGGGAGGCAGGGCCAATTGAGGCTCATTCTAGGCAAGAGTGATGACCTAGCTGTGCCTTTCAGTCACCCAAAAAAATGC